GCACTAGGAGACCATAAAATCTTAGCAAAGCAATTCCCTACCATTGACGAGGAACTTACAAAATTCCAAGAAGCATTAGAGATTTACAACATCTTAGGACCTCACCTGGTCAGAGCTTGGGGCTTCTGAGGTCAGAAGCCGCCTCACTGGAGGGGCCTAATGGCCCTCCCATAACTCCAGCTCTGGGACTACTCTCAGTGATGCGCCAAGTCATTTAACAAGAATTCTATTTCTACTGCTATGTAACAAATTGCCACAAACATAGCCACCCAAAACAACATGAGTTTATTGTCCCACAGTTTCTGTGAGTCAGGAGTCCAGACGCATCTTTGCTGGGTTCTCTATCAGGGCCACACAGCCTGCAGTCTGGGCCAGGCTGTGGCCTCCTCTGAGGCTCAGGGCTGTCTTCCAGGCTCATTCAGGCTGTTGCCAGAATTCAGTTCCTCCTGGTGGGAGGACTGAGGCTCCCGTTTTCTTGTGGGCTGTTGGCCGAGGGTCACCCTAGAGTCACTAGGTCAGCTCCTAGAGGCTGCTCTCAATCTCGGCCTCATGGTCTCCTGCTTAGGGGCCATGCAGAGACAAGCAAGAGAGCATCTCTTAGATACCCTCCTTAGAAGGGCTTACTTGACTGGGTCACGGCCACCCAGAATAATCTCCTTTTTAATTAACTCAAAGTCAATTTACTAGCAACCTAATCCGGGAGAGACATCCCATCCCGTCCGCAGGTTCTGCCCACACCTGGGGAGGGGATCAAACTGTGTCTACACCACGGGCAGGAAGCTTGGGAGCCATCTTAGTTCTGCCTATCACCTGTGCCCTAGAAAGGCCAACTGGGCTAAAAATCAATCACTACAAACAAAATAGAGGAGACAAGGAAGCTAATGCCATGGCAAGATTTTGAAAGCAAGTCTTAAAAAGACACCCAATGCATTGCCAATGTCAGAAAACCACTCTTGGAAGCATTGGCTGTGGACTTCGTGCCCAGGTTACCGCCCAATGTTCAGAAACAAGAATATCAGAAAATGGCAGAAAAACCTCAGGTAAACCTGCAGGATGAGCCAATCATTCATGAATTGCCTCAAGAGGAAAAAGTGACTGTGTTTTGAGTTTCCTCGGGCTGCTGTTACAAAGTACCACAAACTCAGTGGCTTAAAACAACCCAAATTTGTTATCTCCCAGCCTGGGAGGTTAGAATTCAAAAGCAGTTTCACTGGGCGAAAGACAAGGTGATGGCAGGGCTGGTTCCTTCTGAACTGGCGGCTCTGAGGGGAGAATTCATGTCCTTGTCTTTTTTTACCTTCTAACAGTTGCTGGCATCCCTTGGCTTGTGGCCACATTGCTCCAATCTCTGCCTCTGTGGTCACATCAGCTTCTGTTCAGGCCTAGAATCTCTTTCTGTCTCCCTCTTATTGTGGCCTTTGTGATTACATCTTTGGGCCCACCCAGACAATCCAGAGTAATCTTCCATCTCAAGATCCTTCACTTCATGACACCTGCAAAGTCCCTTTTGCCATATAAATTAACATTCCCAGGTTCCTGTGATTAGGGCAAGGATATTTTGGCGGCCAGTATTCAGCTTACTACAGACACTAAAATCAAAGTTCTGGTTTCACAGAACAAACACTTCAAAATCCTAGAAAGATGGACAGAACAGCTACAAAGGTGGGGGTGGGGGTGGAATGGGGTCTTAGAAAAGTTGTTAGTTTTCATTAATGGCATTAGATTAGACCCACGTCATTCTTGAGGATGATAGGAACTGGAAACAATGCATGCCGATGTTGACCTCCTCACACAAACCATGCTTAAGACTCATCTTCTAGATTTCTAAATCACCAAACTAGAACCACACAGCCTCTTTCTTGTTGGGAAAACCTGGAGACCAGCCCTCTGTTCCTTTGTCCTTTACACCCTGCACCCCCAAGCCAAGAATTTTGGAGTCAAAGATGCTAGTCGCTCTATGTTAAGACAACTTCTCAACTCTCTACACTTTCCAAGATCATCAATATCGTAGGACTTTCTAACCAAAATGTGCCTCGTGCTGTCTCTCTCCACATTTCAGTAAGCCCAGGACAGCATCCTTTTAAGATACCATTATTTTATGAACCAGTGGGAAAAGGAAATCACTGCCAATTAATTATAAAATGCCATCAACTCTAAGACACATCCTGATTTCAGAGATGCTAAAATGTGGGGGGAAATGTGTATCTTTGAAGCAATGGGTTAATTTTGAGTCAAAATGCACTTCTTTTAAGCCCCTACTTCTTTGCTGACCTGAAGAATGAGGATGTGTAACCACTCCCCTCTGGAAGGGTGGATCCGGCGCTCCCTCTAGAACGGGCGCTTTCGTCCTGACTGCCTTGACTGAGCTCGCCAGCCCACCACCTGCTATTTCCATGACCTCAGGACATTACAGAATTCTTATTTCTGCTTCTCTGTGGACATGCCACGAAGTTAGACTGATCTATTTTGCCCAGTTAGTTGAAATCAGATTCCATCTTGTGAAGCCCCTCCCCAAATCGCTCCACTATTCTCGGGTCCCAAAGCTGAGGACACCCAAACAGTGAGCACAACCTCACGGTCGTCACCTGCCTCTCCCTCGAGAGACACCTCCAAATAAGAGTTTTATTTTTTGCTTTCTACTTTATTTAGCCTGTTGGGCCACAAAGCTTCAGAAAAACTGTTGTTTACCTCGGATGTGCTATTTATGCCAGAGAACATCTGTGCTCGAGGTCCACGGACCCAGTTAGACGGTCACTAGAAGCCTCTTCCGTTGTCAAACGCCTGTCAGGACGTTGGCTGGAAATTCAGATCCATGACCTTGATCACAGGGAAGTGAGGAAGCCTTACTCACTCCCTCAGGCAAGTTTGACTAGAGCGCTAGGGTTGGGTCTTCCTGACTATGATAAGCCTCTCGTTCTTTGTTACGGTTAGCAGAAGTAGGAGGAGGAGGAGAGGTGGGGAGGATGAAGAAGAGGAAGAAGTATCATTGTCTTCACTTTGGGTATATGAACAAAGCTGTAAAGAGCCGCCCCGTTGCCCCTTAGTCTACGCCCTTGGGAACAAGTGGTCTGTGTTCTTCGCACACTCGCGCCCTGGAACAGGCATCTTCCGCTCTGATTCTGAGCTCCTTTCACTGTAGCTGCTACACGTACAGTTGCAGCTTCTTCCTGAAAATCAAAATACAACTCCCTTCTCACGTCTGATTCTCCAAATATGGACGTTTACTCCTCTGTGCTGATCACATGCCCCCTACTCACGGCCCTGCCTTCAGCCCTGGCTCTCAACTGTGCGCAGGCAGACGGTGCGCCTCGCAATCGCCCTTGAGGTAACACCTGTCTGCCAAAACCCACAATTGACCTTAAAAATGCCTACTTTAGAAACCCTGACATCCTCTTTGTGTTAAAGGCTCCCAACACCAACACAAGAAAAATGGGTCTCAAGTGTGTTGTACTTTCTAAGCCTGAGACAGTGAACTCCCCACTGCTGTCATCACAGGCGGTGCAGCAGCCGAGCTTGTGGCCACCACAGCTTGTTCTCTTCTCAAAAGTCTTTTCATATTTATATTGATCCTCATTTGCTTCTGGAGTTGTTCATGATTATGAGCAATTGTCAAAACCCTGGCCCTGTCTTAGCGCTGGAGAAGTAAAAGGGTCTCAAGGGGCTCGTGTCGATGCTTGCTTACATGTCTTGCAGGTCCTCTGCTGCAAACCCAAGAAAATGTGTTGTTTGCTCAAAACATATGATAGCAGTATGTGTAAAAAGCTTGGTTTTTAAAAAAAAAACAGCCAAAGCAATGGCCACCTTTTTCTAGGCTGCTCTTTTTGTTTGCAGGCTCCTCTTCCAGCCTTTTCTTTTTTTTTTTTTTTTGAGGAAGATTAGCCCTGAGCTAACATCTGCCGCCAATCCTCCTCTTTTTGCTGAGGAAGACTGGCCCTGAGCTAACATCCGTGCCCATCTTCCTCTACTTTATATGTGGGACGCCTGCCACAGCATGGCTTTTGCCAAGTGGTGCCATGTCTACACGCAGGATCTGGACCACAAACCCCGGGCCATGGAAGCGGAACGTGCGCACTTAACCGCTGTGCCACCAGGCCGGCCTCCCAACCCTTTCTGATGCTACTTTTCCTCTGAAGAGGCCAAGAATTCAGAAAGCAGGCTGTCTTTTGTACCCGGATAATATTTGGCACACTTCAGATGGCCACTTGGTGGCACCAAAGCCTCCACTCTGGTCCCCTGCTTGTGTGTGTACACTGCTGTGATCCTCTCTGAGTAACTCAGATGCACAAACCCAGGGGAAGAGGAATTCAAGACCAAAAGGGCAGCCGATCCTTGTCCTTGAGGACCATTTGCAAATACCCATATTATTCAGATGAAGAAAGGCTGAGATTTGAAAATGAATTGGTTAGCCTGTGCACTGTCTCGGGACAGACAGATGTAGACACCCATGTGTAAAAGTCACCATCCACAGAGGGCCCCCTGAAGAGGTTTTATTTCCAGGGTTGGCCACCTTTGTCCACTAATAGTGAAGAGACTCGTGCATTTCAAGACACACTGTAAAGGAATTTTGAAAAGCTGTGAAAGCAAATCAAAACTACACCCAGACACTGTTTCCCATCCAACCTATTGGCCACGCTCAAAAAATTGGGTACCAGTGGACAGTGCTGGTGGGGATACTGAGAAACAAGTTCTCTCCTACGTTGCTGGTGGGGGTCTAAATTGGAACCACATCCACTGGAGGCAATCTGGCAAAAAGCTAGCCAAGTCACAAACGCACATTCCATTTCTAGGAACTTACCCTGTGAGTATGTTCACTGTGTGAATGTCACACTGGAACATGGTTTCTTATAAGATTGGGAGAAAAACATTTAAAATATCCATAATAGGAAACACGTGAAGTAAATTATGAACATCCACATAATGGAATACTGTGTAGTAGTAAAAAGGGAGAGGTTCAGGGGAGCCCCACCCGAGACCACAGCCCAGGCCCCCCATTTGTTTACCTGTTGTGAGGCTCTCCAGCCGTCAGTAATTGCTTGCTCCAGCTCCTCCCAGGTGACCATCGTGACTTCTTCTCCAACAGGCATCACACTCAGCTTCCGGCCAATTTGATCCTGACGGGAGCAGACAACATGTGCGTGCATACATACACACCACATGTGCAACACGTACACCTAGTGTCATCCCGGGAAGCTTTAAGAACAGAACTGAGCTAATGGGGGGGGGGTCGGGGGGGGTCCTTCCACAGCCCTAAGCCCAAGGAGAAGGCACTGTCCTTCAAGTGGCCAGTGAGTCTTGGGCAGCCAGTCTCCTGTCCCATGGGGCCCCTGATGGAGTGCTGGGCAGGGATGGACAGGATTTCTCCTCAATCTAGGGGCAGTGCCCTGAGAGGCAAAGGGCACACAGCACCCCAGCCTGGCGGGGTGCAGACATCCAGGTGGGAGTCTGGGTGAGCCCCAAGATAGGGGCCAGGCTGAGAGAAAACATCCTCCGCTCCCCTCTTGAGGGCCCTTTCCCACAGAACCGGCCGATATTACCAGGAATTCTTCCCGGCCTCTGATTAGCCTCTCTAGTTCATCAACCCGCTGGACGAGTTTCTGGAAGAAGAGTTCAGAGATGGAGGATCAAAGCAGCCACACCTGTGGCCCCTCTGCACACATGCACACACACAAGCACGTGCGTGCGCACACATACACACACACAGGGGAGAAGAGGTGTAGATCTGAGAGGAGCAGAGGGTAGAGAGAAGGCTGGTCAGCCAGGCTCCCCAATCTCTTCTGAGCCAACCAGAGGAAGGGAAGTGGGGTGCAGTGGCGTGGTGTCGGGGGACAGCATGCCAAGAGCAAGCGCTAATGCAAGGTTGGGTCCTTTGGTCCCGGCATCCATTTCACACCACCCACTAATGAAACGTTCCAGCCCTGTAGGACAAGGCTGACCTCGCCTCTCAAGGACAGAAACGGTCGGTTACTTCAAGGGTTTCTGAATGTCTGTGCTGTTTAAAGAGAAAAGCACCTCAAAAGAACCAGAGCAAATCTGCGAACCTTCAGAATCTGAGAATCTAAAGGTAAAGCAAGCCTTTTGTCCAAAAAGCAAAATCAACCTAAACCCAAAAAACACCAGACTTCAAAAAGAAAAGCTTCCCAGAGCGAGATGAGTCCTGCCGGGTCTCAGGGCCTAGCTGACAACGAATGGGATCAGCGGGCAGGCGTCCCCCCAGGGGCTTGTTGCCTCCTGCCTCCTTTGAGCTTTTCTTTTCCCGCAAGTCTCTCTTCTCAGCCTCTCCCTGAGCCTCCTCCTCACTGCTCCTCCTTCTCCTTCCAGCTCTAATCCCCCATGTGGGCCTCGGAGGGGCCTGAAATAGGAGCATGGCCTAGTATCTCCTGAAGTGACATGCTTTGGGTCCTGTGGTCAGATTTTTGGGACCCCTCTACCTGGCCTGATAGGCAAATCCAGCAAGCCAGGAATCCTGCGCGGACTTTAAGTCAGTGCAATAACATCCACGCTGTCCTGGGGAGTGGCCGTGCAGGCCACCGTCAGCCTGTCAAATGACCTCGCAACCCCTCGGCTCACCACTGAAGATGCCAGCTGGAGAAACCAGCAACAGGAAGAGATAAAGGGAACCTCGCTCAGACACCCCCAGCTGCATTTCTTGGAGATTGAGGGAATAAAGAACCACCCTGGTCCTTGCCTCCATCCACACATAGGTAACATCAGCGTCTCTGAACTTGTTTGACGTGTAACCAAGGAATTCTTGTTTATGTTACTTTCACGCATAATCTAGAGGAAAACCAGATGTACCCTAATCCCGTTTTGGACACACATGAAATCTAGTTGTGAGTTTTTCCCTCTTCGCTGCAGTGCGCTGTTTTGTGAGAGAGAGAAGCTGCCCTGAAACCCTGGCACTGCAGGGCAGTTTGATCAGAGTGTTCTGTTCAACTGTTTCCCAGGATTCAAACTCCTCATCTTGATGATCAAATAGAGGAATTAACCTTTACCCAGACTCTGTTTCAGTCGGCAGTCCCTGCTGATTGTTGGAAAGTGCTGATGCCAAGGATCTGTACTTCTCTCTCCAAGGAAACAACCACCCCAGTGGAAGCGTTGCTGCCCGCTGCACCGCCCAGCGAGCCGCTAACTCTCTGCATCCCAGAGCCCCTCCTCTTGGACTGAGCTTTGTCTCACCACCACCTTATTTCTCCATTCTTGTTTAAAGAAAATTCGCTCAAAGAATATTGAGAAGTTGTCCACTCCCCTCTGTGTTGGTTCAGGATCCTTGGGTGTTTGATAAGCGGTGGGTGAGCCCCCGTGTAAACAGTGGCGAGGAAAGAGGCTGCGTGGGAAGGGGCAACTGGGCACTCAGAGGTGGGGTCCCCACGCCCTCACCTGGGGGTTCAACTCGGGCAGCTCTTGCGCCTTTTGGTGAACTTCTTTCAGGGTTTTCATGTCTTCCGTGACATCGTGGAGCAGCTCCATGGTCTGCAAGGTAGAGCATGGGCCGCGTGGGGCAGGGCCTCACGGAGGCCTGGCGCCCGGCCCTCCCCACGCCACCGCCCCGCGGGGACGCTGGGTGCCTTCTGGGGTCAGCTCCAGCCGGGGCTGCAGAGTGGGCTGGAGGGGCGGAAGGTGTGCCCGGGGCCCTGCGCGCTCACCCGGGGGCCGCTGACCGCCTCGCTGTCCTTCCTGATTTTCATTGCCTCCATTCGCGGCTTCTCGGGCATCAGCATGGCCGTCTCCTTCTCCTCCAGCCACCTCCGAGTGTTCGCGTCGAGCCCGCTGGCCGTGGCGCTGAGATGCTGCACGTGGGACGCGATGCCCTGAACCTGGCTCCCCATGGTCTTGAGCTGCCTGCTGAGGTCCTGGACCTGCGCGCCCAGCTCCTTCACCTGGCCCTCCAGCACCGGCGGCGCCCTGCCCGCGCCGCTGCTCCTCCGCCTCTCTTTGGGCATCGCCAGCTGCGGGGCGCTAAGCGAGGCCTGGGGGAGCTCCAAGGAGAGACCCTGCTCGGGCGACGGCGCCTGGAAGTCGATTCGCGTCTCCCGCAGGTTGAGGCACTTGAGCATGGCCACGATGAGCGTGTGCAGGGCCGTGAAGTTGACGGCGCCCAGCTCCGGGGTGCCGATGGCGAGGTCGGCCAGCTCCCGGAGGGTGACCTTGGTGGCCGCCGTCGCGGGCGGCATCGTGCGCCCTCTCAGGAGCGCTCCGCGCCCCCCTCACTGCTCCCCGCTCCTCTGGGGCCCTTCGGGGTCCCTGCGAGGCCCCGGGGCGCCCCTGCCCTTGTGCCTAGCCGCGCCGGGCACCAGCCACGGTCTGGCGCCCTCCCGGAGGACGGAGAGGAAGCGCCCGGGCGCCGCGCTGCCCACTCTTCGCCCGCGGGAACCCGCCTCGCCGCCGTCTGCTTTCCGGCCTGGCTCTCGGAGCTCCCGCCCTGGGCGGCCCTCCTCTCGCGGCCGGCGGGCGTTTGGAACGCGAGGGCGGCCCCGTTCGCGGCCCGCTTGTGGTGGCCCCAGCGCGCCCCCAGGATTCCGCGGAAGAACGCGCCCGCGGAGAGCCGGCCGCCGCGCCTTTCCCGACCTGCCCGTGCTCGAAGCCACCCCCAAACTCACAAGGGGAGCCTGTCTTCACGGGGTCTGGGGGAGCCTTGGCCATACTCCAGGGCGCCACTGATCTTTATTCTCATAAACGCCCCGGCGGAAAGGCGTTCTGGGCTGTGCCAAGGCCTTTCTGTCTGGGAACACATCAATTGGGGGAGGGAAGAGGCCTGAGGTCCACCTAGATTCCAGCCGTTGCTTAACCCAGAAGGGCCCACGAGTCACTCGCCCTTGGGGGCCACCAAGAATGGAGAGATTTCAGGGGTATCATGGCAACTACGCTTTGTCCTCAGCTGTTCCATTAGGCAGGGCAGTGGCATGTCCCTAAGCGGCCCTGAGGCCTTGGGCCCCTTGGGGACGGTTCCATATCATTTTGCTCAATCAGAAGGGAGGGTAACTTGGAAACCACCGCTCACTACTCAGGCGGTTCCAATTAGCCACCAGATGACAGGCCTTTTCTGTGCTGCCCTGGCCTAATTTATCTTAAAACAGATTCATCTGGTCAAGCGCCAGGATCTCAGCTCATTACAAGGCAGGATTAGACGGGACGAGACGAACTTGGTGCTCTCAACAATTGAGGCTGGCCTCCGCCATGCCAGGTTCTTCCAGAAAACGTAAAATTTCAGTGTTTCTATTTGGGAAAGCTAATGAAAACCTGTGAACGCGTCTGTACTATGTACTCCTATTTTAACTAATTTACAAATTTTTAGTTTAGTCTGAGCTGGTAAAACTTAATTAAAACCCTTCACGTCCCTGTCCCCCCTTTCCCCTCCGAAAACCAGAGTTCCTTGGGAACAGAGTTAACTGTGCGTCTGTAACGTCCATGAGGCTAACACCCAAGGACTCTTGCTCACCATTGCATCCCCAGTGCCTGGCACACAGAAGGCCGTTGGGTGGGTGGTCACATTCTTTGCAGTCTTCTGTGCACTTACACACTTACCTTACAAAGCTCAAGGCCAGATCACATAGTGAAGGGCCTTGGGACCCAGCATCAGCTTACTGGAGGCTGTGGTGTGTGACCTTTCTCAATTCTAAGTTCAGTGACTTTCCAGAAGAAAGTTACTACCACCACTCCTACATCAGCTACGGCTGGGATGTCAGCTCCCTGAGGCCTCACGTTTTCCTTTTCACATCCTGAGACTTGGTATCACACCAGGCACATATTATGACTCACGAAATGCCAACGGAAAGGGCGTATCCTAATATATTCTAATTATAATCTCAGGAAATATATTCTACTGAACGCTTTTGCAAAATAAGTACACTTAAAAATCTCTAAAGAGACACAGGAAAGAAAACATTAACTGGAGGTATAAATGGAACTTGGGAGTTGAGGAGCTTTCACTGAAACCACAGCTTTCAATTCAAACCTCCCTTTTTACAGGAGATGACAGAGGCCCAGAAAGGACAAGTCATCTGCCTGACCTTATGGATAAGGACAGGTCACCTGAGTAACAGTCCACAGCTCTGCTTCTGCCACCACACTGATTATTTTGTAATTAAGTTCTTTGCTCAGAATTCCCCTACTTGGACTATAACAGAAGGCAACTTATTCGTGTGCTTAAAAAATCTAACGTGCTCAGAGTCTTGACTGTGGGCTGGGAACTTCTAGTCATTAGGAAAGAGATAAAAATGTCAAGGAAACTTCCCTGCAGAGAAATTCCAGTGAGTTGTCCTTTATTCTCTCTCAGGAACTAACAGGACCCACGAGCAGTTCCAGTTCCTTTCCCAGCAGACACTCCTCCCTCCCGTTCTGCTCAGCCCTGACTTGAATCAGACTAAAAGGTATAAAAGGGTTATCCCACATTTGCAGCAAGGCCTACCTGACAAATGTGGGATAACTGGAGTTGTGATCATGTAATTGTGACTGCCGGGCAGAAAGGCCCAGTGCAGTCCTGAGAAATGCAGTAAATCACACAGGAAAAATACAATTACTTCTACTTCTTAAAAATTTAGATTTTAAATATACCATTCGACAAGGATTTAACTTCAATGCTTAGGAAGGGGATGGGACCTGCAGGAGACTTCTATCTAGGGTTTGGGACCAGCCATGTCCCGGACCACCCTTTATTTTATGTCCATTGTCTTCTTTTTTTTTTTTTTTAATTTTTTCCTTTTTCTCCCCAAAGGCCCCCGGTACATAGTTGTATATTCTTCGTTGTGGGTCCTTCTAGTTGTGGCATGTGGGAAGCTGCCTCAGCGTGGTTTGATGAGCAGTGCCATGTCTGCGCCCAGGATTCGAACCAACGAAACACTGGGCCGCCTGCAGCGGAGCGCGCGAACTTAGCCACTCGGCCACGGTGCCAGCCCCCATTGTCTTCTGCAGTCTGGACAGAAGTCAGTCACCGAGAAGGAGAGCGGGCAGCTTGCAATGCAGTCAACAGACCAGCAAGACAACAAATTCTTTTATTTGCAATTTAAGAGCAACACAGATATCCAGAGACAGTATGTTATTCTCTAATCTGACACCCTTACCAGGAGTAACACCACAAAAGTTTCATTGTTCAATGGCTGTAGGCACAGCAATTTCTCAAAGAAAATATGATTCTCTACAAAAGATTTACATGAAGTTGATTGGGAAGGACAATCAGAATAGAAACAATTCCCGGGCACGCAGCTTCCCTACCCACGTTCAACATCAACACGTACGTCTCCCTGCGGCTGAAACAACTCAATGAACATTAGAGAGTTAAGACCTTATCTACCTTGAACTCCTTTTCAATATCAGTAAGATTTTCAGATTCTTTTCAGGAAGGTGTCTGTAACTTTTGTTTAAGGAACAGGGTGACAACAGTAAACATTTAAGGCCATTTACCTGTTAGCTCTGTCTTCATTTTGACTATCTTAATGTAATGCCTCCTACCTACCAAACTTGGTGAGAGAGACTATCTGACTCCAGACATTTCCAGTCCTCCCTTGAAAGGAAACACTGTACATAAGCGGCGGCACGGCTTTCCACGTTTCCCTTAGGAGCTCCAGGGTCGAGGCAGCCACGAAAGCTAGTCATCCACCGTGATGTTCCGGAAAAGGTACGCCATGGACTCCCCATTGTGGATTCTCCGAATTGCTTCAGAAAGAATCAAACTGATGTCCACAGTCTTTATCTTGGGACACTGCAGCTTCTGCACCTCATGAGGGACAGTATTCGTCACCACCACCTAGTCATTGCAGCAATGGAAAATAAACACTGTTACTGACGTGTGACCAAGTGGTCACTCAGAAAAGTTTATCTAACATTTAGTACCCGAAACCCAAGTTCCAAACTACAAAACCTTATTCCACTGCGTAAAGTTTTTATGAACTAAACTTAACCAACTTTATACAAGGGAAAGGCTACATGGTTCAAAAGCTAAGATTATGACTATCATGGTCTGTGCATGCAGAAATGAGAGGGGAGGCCCAGCACTGCGCAAAGCTTTCATATGATCAGGGAGGAATTCAGGTCTTAAGAAAATGACTGTATCAAACTATATTGAAATACAAACTATAATGAAGTACATAAAGCAAATCTTTATGAAAAGAGATATATATTCCTAACTTTCTATCTGCCCAACAAACCGCTAGCCACCAAAAAGCACTACTGCATTAGGCCCTCTAGAGAGGGATTAAGCAACACTGACTCAGTCATTTCACTCTTCACAGAAAAGACAGCAGCAAATCTTGACTCAAGCTCTCGGCTCCAAGCCTGTGAGAGCAGACAGACCTCGTCAATGGTGGACTCCTCGATCAGGCGGGGCGCCTCTGCAGACAGGATGCCGTGCGTGGCCATGACATAGATCTTGTAGGCTCCTCTCTCTTTCAGGATCTCTGCGGCAGCAACAAAACTTTCCACGTCATCAATGATGTCGTCCTGAGAAGAGACCCGAGTTAGTACTAAGGAGCTCCCTTCATCTCCATCTAGCAACACACAGCGCTCCGCCCTTCCCTGCACTTTGTTTCAGAGGATGTCCAACAGAAAACCGGAGCTGTCTCGCTGGGTGAAAGACCGAACATCCAGAAACAGCAACAAGGCGTGTGGCCTGTACTTTCTGCACAAAGAGCAGCAAAGCCTTACGGTCACGTGTGACATTCAAAGCAGAGTTTAGGACTGCCAAGACTCATTTCCCTGTTTCGAATTTCTGATTAATCCTACAGAGCCAGTGTCCCATGTACTTTTTTCCAAGAGAAAGTTAAACGAGGGAACATAGAAATAAAGTGAGCCATTGTAAGGGCTGATCCTCTGGCCCAGCAAAGGCACTTAGACCTGGGAGCAAATATATCACGTTCAAGTGTGAAGAATGAGGCTCTTGTTCTCATTAGTAAGGATGGAACAGCTCATATGTAGTTTACCTCATGGCCCCAAAGCTGACGGTTCAGTAGGTCAGCTACTGTGATGGAATCTAGACCCTTTCTGACAAAGGTCATTCACGGGGTTGAATTTTCTTACGGGAGTTAACATGTTCTTCTGACATCTGTAGGTTACAATGATCCCTGTTCATCTACATAAAAATTTCTGCTATGTGTCCTAAGGGACTTTGGGTGAGAAAGGATAGATGGAGCCATTTAACTCTATCATTGTTACTGGAAACACAATCCAAAGGTGGACAATTTACTAAGAGCCAGTAGTGTCATCTCTGCACGTGAAGGATGACACGGGACCATACCACAATGATGGCGATGCGCCCTCCAACGTCTCCGACTACCGTTATTGGCGGCTTCTCTTTGGCCATCATCACTAGAAAGCAAAACAAATCACAAGACCCCAGTTAGTCAACGTGTCACTAGTAAAAGAAATGACAACGTCATTCCCTGCAAGTAGTGGCAAAACCATGGCAGACAATTTAAAAAAATGCACATTCCCCCTGAATGACCTTGGGGTCTCTCAGAAACAGACTGTCCAGCGCAGTGCTGTCCAAGTGAAACAGAAGGTGAGCCATGTGTGAAATTTTACATTTTCTAGAAGCACATTAAAAAGCAAAAAGAAATGGGTGAAATTAATAGATTTCATTTTACTCAATATACCCCAAATATTACCATTTCAATATGTGATCAATATACAAATTTATTTAGAGATGATTTATTTTTTTCATACTGAGTCTTTGACATTTGGTGTGCATTTTACAGACACAGCACTTCTCAGCTGAGAGTAGCCACATTTCTAGAGCTCAGCAGCCACATGCGAATAACAGCCCCACCCGGGCAGCAGGTCTGAAGATGAGCAGCAGAGCGAGGAAGAGCTCACCGACTCAACACAGAAATAGCCCACTCTCTGAGCTTTCAGTCCACTCTTACTTTCTTCTCAGCTTTCTGAGCTGAGACTGATAAAGAAATGTAAAATAAATGCCACTCTGTAGAAAATAAACAGGGAAAGGCTGCCAGATAAAGAGCCAGCTTTACTTCATCTTCTTCTAAAGCGACCTTATTTGGACAATGTAACCTTATTATCAGATAACTAGGCTACTGACATAATCAGTTTCCTGAAAATTAGGAACTGGAAGACAATAACTATGAGGGCATCATCTTTTCCTGATTTAATTGGTCCTTAAAGTAGAGGCTTCTTATCTCACTACAAAATTTATATCTGGAAAAGGCCCATCAGTGTACAAACCAAACTACAGGATAGAGAAGGGAAACAAGAATTTATCCTCAAAAGAAGGATAGTAAACTGAGAAGAAAAAAAGAATATTCCAGAAGAACAGGCTAAGCATTCTACTTTTTTTTGAAAACTTTATTATTCTAAAGTAATTATCAAACTAGTAGTGGGGGAGGGGGAAGAGAATAAATGCTGGGTAATTATACAGTTTAGTAATTATCAGTAAACAATCCATTGTAGCGGCTTCCTATCTACAGGCACTGTGAACCTTGAAGAACGGGCCATTTCTGTGTACTAGCAAATCAGCCAAAGTGAAATTCTGCACGATTTTACTGGCAAATTTCAAGAGACATTTAATGATTCCCCATCCCAGAAACAAGGGCAATTTCTTGACTTTGGGTAGTCAAAAAGGCTCTGCATATAAATATCACCTATGGGGGGGGGGGGGTGGCGCAGGGAATAAACCACCAATACTAGGAAGGATTTTCTCAAATTCTGTCTTTAAATTAAACCATGTGGGTAGGCCATTATGTTGACCTACCCACTTCTTAAACAGATATGATCCCTTTTCTTGACCATTTTTCTCTGTAAAAAAAGAAAAAGATTGCAAGCCGGTAAACTCCATGAAAAATCAACAGAAATTGAGCTCCAGTTGATGCAGAAAACATGTCAGAGCATTCCTGTTTACTTTTCTATAACCCTACCTCTCCCCCAAAAATAGGTCAGTTTGAAATAAAAAACACACGGGGTGGGCCAAGTGGTGTGGTGGTTAAGTTCACATCCTCCGCTTTGGTGGTCCTGGGTTTGCCAGTTTGGATCCCCAGTGCAGACCCACACACCGCTTATCAAACCATGCTGTGGCAGGTGTCCTACATATAAATAGAGGAAGATGGGCAGAGATGTTAGCTCAGGCCTAATCTTCCTCAAAAGAAAGAAAAAACAGGCATGACTAGGATCGAGGCTTAAAATGGCTAAAAAGCAAGCCTCACTCCTGGTCTGCTCATTCCCTGCTCTTAACTGGCTTTAGGATCTGGCTAAAACTGAACAGTAATTCTGCAGCTACTAAAAAACAGAGACAGGGAGTGACATCAGCAACATGGCAGAGTGAGCAGTTTTCCTTGTCTCTCCCCTTTCAAACTACAACTAAATGAACATTTCTTGATCAATGGAGGATACTCACGCAGCACCTCAGGACGCCTGAGAGAACCGCGCTGCTAACATCAGAAGGTGGATGGACTGCGCCCAGGGAGGAGGTGGAGACAGGTGAGAACTCTCCGGCCCCCAGACAGCCTAGTACCTGCAGGCGACTCCCTCCCGGCTGACATGCTCATAGCAACACCACAGCCCTGAGGGTGGGCATGCGCATCAGTGAGACTGTGGAAACAGGTGACCACATCCCTAAGCCTCCTGCGATTGCTCCTCGGTCCAGTGGGAAAATCTACGGTCCCACAGTGGCCGCAGGGAGAGTCTCTACCCAGCCGGAGTGGAGAGGCCCCAGCCAGCAAGCACAAAGGCTGGGCGACCTAAGAGCAGAAGTTGTGCGGCCGGGTGAGCTAACTGTTGG